AAAGAGAGAAAATGAGAAATTAACCCCCGCCCCCGCCCCAGGGAGATGGCTATGCTGCAATCTCTTCTCTTCCATTTTCCTCTGGGGATTTTGGGCATATATGCACACATGCTCAGTGTAAGTTTAAGTCACCAGGTCCAAGACTCAAATTGTGATTGACTATGTGGGAATCCAGCAATGTAACCATTATGCAGCCTGCTGCTCCCTCAATTTCTTGTTCTTATGAGATACAGACATGATGAATTAGGGCTCACCCTTGTGACTTCATCTTACGTTGATCATCTGCAAAGACAACACTTATAAATCAGGTCACACTCATAGGTGCTGGGGATTAGGACTTTACTCCTTCACAGGGACTCAGTGCAATTCATAACCCTGGTAAATGGCTCAGACAAATTTGGAGAAGGTTTTAGATAAGGTTTACTGTAAGAACTTTTGGTCTTGCTATAAGGCCCTTCCTCAATCTGTGATTGGACAAGTGGGATTTCCCTCTCACCACACAGTGCCTAACTCCTGTGGTATGGAGCCAGTACTCTTTTTCTCATTTTAAAATTGGGCTATTTGCTTTCTTACTACTGAGTTTTTTGGTTTTTTTTTGTTTTTTTTTTGTAAGAGGTTTTAGCTATAGGGCGCGTCCGCTTGCCAGACAGACAGAGAGAGACAGAGAGACAGAAAGCAAGAAAGCGCCCTCATGGGAGATGGCCACGCCTCAATCCCTTCTCCTCCATTCTCCTCTCAGGATCTTGGGCACACATGCACACGCGCCCGGCATGAGTTTTAAGCCATCGGGTCCAGGACACGAACCGCGGTCGACTACATGGGAGTCCAGCGACATTGCCATTACACTAACTGCTGGTCCCACTACTGAGTCTTTTTAGTTTCTTATCAATCCTGAATATTAATATCTTATCAGATGAATAGTTTGCAAATATTTTCTCCTATTTCATAGGTTGTTTCGTCACTCTATTTTGTACAGAAGCTTTTTAGTTTGATATAATCCCATTTGTATATTTTTGCTTTTATTACTTGTACTTTTAGAATCAACACCCCCTCCAAAAAAATTGCTGCCCAATTGCTCTCATGAAGTTTCCCCCTTTGTTTTCTTCTAGAAATTTTATAATTTCCGGTGTTACATCTAAGTTTTCAATTCATTTTGAATTAATTTTTATGTATGGTATGAGGTAAAAATTTAATTTTATCCTTTTATATGTGGAGATCCAGTTTTTCTAGCACCATTTATTGAAAAGACCTTCCACAAAGGTATTTGTTTTCTTTTTTTCTTTATGAGAGACAGAAAAAGAGAGACAGAGATAGATATTTTTGACAGGTTCTATTTCTGTCATGATACTTCTGCCCCAGACTTTCAATTATCTAGGATTGCAAGTGCATGCAACTGTGCCTGGTATGTTCAGGTTGGTCTAGAAACTGAATCTGGGCTCCTCATATGGCCTCCACCCTCCCAAGTGGTGATGCTGTCTGTGCACTACAGTCACTAGGCCCACAAATGCTTTTTTTTTTTCCTTTTCCATCTTTTTCTTCCTTCCTTCCTTCCTTCTTCCTTCTTCCTTCCTTCCTTCCTTCCTCCTTCCTTCCTTCCTTCTTCCTTCCTTCTTCCTTCCTTCCTTCCTTTCTTTCTTTCTCCCTCTCTTCCTTTATTTCTCTTCCTTTCTTTCTTTTTTTTATTTTTATTTGAAGGCATTACTTAATGCTTCAGTGATAAGAGTATCCTCTAGGCATCGCTAAATACACACCCTCTTCAACATTGCTATGTTACTGAGACCAAAGTCACAGCTCTGTTGTAACACAGAGGTCCCTACATCTGACTCTAATGTGCTTGTGAATCACATGGGAACTTTTTAGAATGAGGATTTTACTTCATGAAGTCTGGGATGGAGCATGTCTATCAAGTACTCAGGGATGGGATACACTTATCTTCAGACAACATTTGAGTAGTGAGGCCTGCATTGTGTCAAGGTATTTTTGCTTTTCAGTGGCATGAACTCTTGGTCCCCATAAAGCCCACGCCATTAGGAAAATGGTCACACCTTCCATGTGCTTGTGCTGACACATCCAATCTGAATCCTGGGTGAGCGCAATGATGTCAGCCTCCGAGCATGAAACTTAATTCTTCATGGTCCAACATCACTCAACCCTCTCAAGCATTCTCCAAGGCTTCTACCAATTTAATTCCAGCAACTCTTTTAGGTATGTGCTGTTCTTTCTGAGCAGGCCTTCCACTTTCTGTTCCAGTTATGAAGGGGTCTAAATTTTGTGCACCAGAGGCAATGTTGGGATGTAGAAATGGTCCTGAGGAGACCCTGCATCATCCACTTGCATCCTGTATGAGCCATGATGGACTCATCAGAAGGCCTTTATGCAGAGCAAAGCTCCCCAGCACACAGCCCTTCTGCCCTGCAGCTCTAGGAGATTAGAGGCTCCTTCAGTGATGCTGGAAAGCCTTTCCAATTATTCTGTTTCGGTTGGACATTCTCAGTCTTTGAAGTCTTCCTTTATTTGTAATGTGAAGAACTCCCAAATAATTCAGAAACAGCCAGCTGACCTCAAATCATCATCTTTATTTCCTCACTATTGTGTTTTTTAGTTTCTTCTCTATTGTGGATATGAATTCCTTATCAGATGAATGGTTTACAAATATCTTTTCCTATTTTATAGGTTGTCTCTTCCTTCTTGATGATTCCATTTGCTATGCAGAGACTTATTAGTTTGATATAATTTCACCTGTGGTCTCAACCACTCACATGCATGGTTGCTCTGCCTTTACATCACTCTCCTATGTCCCACTGAGATGCTGTGTCAGCATTCCATGCCATGGGTCTCAGTGCCCGTGTTCCTAGCCAGGGTCGCATTATTTAAAGGGCCACCACTGATAGCAATTGTGATTAATGAGAGGCCTGGCAGGAAACAGGTCTATCTACTTTCAGCCTGAGACATTTGAAGATAATTAAATAAGCTAAGGGTTAAAGTCTCTTTGGGGCTTATGAACCTGCAGGATATAGGACTGAAAAGGACATCATTTAGCGACCCAGAGAAGGTAGCCACATGAAGAGGGCTACCCAGCTGGTTATGGCCTGACCCAGGGTGTGGTCAGTCTAAATGATGCTGCAGGAAGGGATCCAGGAGATAAAGTCTTGGGTGCATGATCTCTTAGACCCACAGCAGTGTCAGCCTGAGCCACAGGGAGCCAGGGAAGGACAAAGAGGCCCCTTTCTGAAAATAGGGGTGCTTTTACTAAAGCCAACTGATATCCCCAGTGCCCACTACAGAAGCCTTAGGATGCTAGTTGGAGAGTTTTAGATTATTTGGGTTTAGATGTCATGTGGTGTGATTATTCTATTTTTCAGATAAAAAAACTAAGACCTAGGACTGTTAGAACACTGGAACATGGTTGCCCAGTTCATTAGTGGACTATATTCAGCTGGGTGCTTTCTTTCTCATTGCATGGTAATCCTCCCACCCCCCTTTTTTTTAAATTGCCAGAGGATCCATGTGCTTGAGAGAGAGAGAAGGGAGAGGGAGAGAGAGAGAGAAAGAGAAAGAAACACCCCTGAATGGGATGTGGTCACACTACAATCTCTTCTCTTCCATTTTCCCAACCTGTCAGGATTTTGGGCATGCATGTATACCCCATGTGTTCTTCAAGCCACTGGGGCAGAGAGTTGAACCACAGGTCCATCACGTGGTATCCAGCTCCCTTAGCCTCTAGGCCATGGAGCTGGCCCAGTAATCACAACCTATTACCTGAAAGTGAGTCCATGATTTCCAAAGACTGGATCTTGTGCTCAACATCTCCAAGGCTAGGAGCAGAAAGGTAGGGTGACAGTCTCCATCCTGTGTACTTGTGTAACCCTTAGCCATTCTTTTCCTGGATTCTAACCAGTGACTCACGTTCACTTTATACTTTTGATGTGCACCTTTATATATCATTTCATTATTAAAAGGACTCCACTGTAAAAGGAAAAATTAAAAAGCCAAAAAATTCATTTCAATAAATATTTAATTTTATTAAATAATAACTAAACTCCTTTGATTGGATGCTAGAAGCTTGCCACATTTCTAAAAGAATTATTTCATTTTTATTTAATTTATTCATTCATTTATTTTAATTTGACCAGAGAGAGACACACACAGAGAGAGATATAGAGAGAGGGGAAATGAGAAAACAAGCCTCCAGGTCTGGGACTTGAACCATGGTCAGCCATGTGGGAGTGTCCAGTGCTGCCTTAACCACCATGCCACCTGCTGGTCCCCCGCTTGTCACATTTTTAACGTTAGTGCTCACTGGTAGGGGGACCTGGACAGGGTTTCTTTCTTGTTAAGAGATCTCAGCATACTTTGCTTAATTCAAATTTGCCGTGGAGGTTTCAACTAACCTAATGGGAAAAAAAATACAGTTTGGGGGTCCTAGTTTCCTCAGAGAAGGGCCAAAGGGATACAAGTTATAATTTCCCTCCTCATCTTGTCCAACTGCAGCTGCCCCCATCTAGACCTGGCTTGTCAAAATTATCACATGCCTATTTTGAATAGTCAAGGCCAGGTGGCCAGGTCCCACCAGCTCCTTCTCCCTCCCCTGAACTACCATGGTGGGGACCCTGTAAACCACCTTTGACATAACCATACCTTTCCTGGCCATCTCTAGCTATGAATCAGTTCTCCTGGGTGTAACGTTTATATTGCAGGAGGGTCTCACTGATATGAATGACCTAGATTAAGGCCACTGCAAAGAGACTCCCACTGGATAAGAGTGGGACTGTCTGCATCTCTAGTCCTCTGCTGGAATGACTACACAGCACATTTCCCTCTATCAGCAAACGCATTGATTTGTCTTGACCAGGCTTAGGAAACACCTTTGAATCAGTGGAGATTACTCAGAATGGGTTGTGTGACTCTCCTTAGGCAAATGTTGTCGAATATTCTTTAAGCAAATACAGCCTGCAGTATAAAATCCAGGACTCAGACAGATTCTCATGCCTGACTCGTGATCTTCTTGAGAGCGGAGAGAAGGTCAAGGCCACCATGGAGTACAAGGCACTCTGTGTCCTGGTCCTGGTCTTTGCACTGGCCCTTGGCACCTGGGCCCAGGACCAGACAGGTAAGCCCTCCTCTTTCCTGGTAGGGGCAGGGTTCAGCCAGGCTGAAGCTAACCTCTGCTGGGAGCCATCATTGTACTCTGCTTATTTCTAAACATTTATTTCATGCCAGTCACTGTGAGGCTCTAGGAAGATGTCCCACTTATCAGGAAAGGCACAGGCAGGTGAGGAACGTTGGCCAGTGGCATGGTCTACAGAGAGCCTTGAGAAAGGCTTCCCGTGTTCAGTCACTGTTACCCAGGATTGACACCAGAATATCATGCTACCCTGAGAGTCATCTCTCAAAGAGGAATCGTGGCCAGGGTGTACAAACCCAGCACTTCTAAATGCCCATACCAACATGTGGACCTCCCGAGGCCCACACAGACATGCCTAAATTCCTGTCCATGATGGGCCTCCTACAGCCTGGCCTGCTACAAAGTGCTAAATAGATGCTATCTGTTATCTCTAGATAGTTTTAAGGCAAGAGGGAATAGGAGAAAGAGTTTTATTTCTTTTTTAATTTATTACTTACTATTTATTTATATTTTACTAAAGGGCATGTATACTCTCTGCAGCCAGACAGAGAGAGACATAGAGGGAAAGTGAGACATTATCCCCCAAATTGGCCACGCCTCAATCCCTTCTCTTCCATTCTTCTCTTGGGATTTTGAGCATGCATACACATGCACCTGCTGAGTTTTTCAAGCCATTGGGTCTGGGACTTGAACCTTACAGTCAGCCATTTGGGATACAGTACCTTAACCACCACACCACTTGATGGACCAAGAAAGGGTTTTCTAATCAAGGGTTGAGGTGAAGGGAGCAAAGAGTGGTCTCCATATACATTTGGGCACCTTCGTCCTCCTTTTCTCCCAGGCTGAACCATCCCCTGTCCCAGCCTTCAGTCTGGCCCTTTCCAGACCACTCACACCCACCTTCTCTACCTCACCTGCATATGCACTTGCACCTCCCTGAGCATACTCAGCTCTCTCTTCCTGGCCTCTGGACATACTCTATCTGCTTGGACCACTCATTGCCTTGTCCTCACCGAAGAACCTCCTCCTCCTGGGAGCCCCTCCTGTTCTGTTCAGCCTGGTGAACACTGGCTTCTTCTGGGAGCTCCCCTTGCCACTGTGCCTGCCCTCAGCTCACAGGATGACTAGGTTGTGCTGTCTTGTCCATTTTCTTAGCTTTCTCCTCCATTAGACGTCATCTTTTAACAACATTTTTATTTTGAATTTCTGGGTCCCTGTCCTCAGGCACAGTGCCTGGCTTTTGCTGTGGAAGTTCTTGCTTCTAGCGTATCTGGATGGTGTTCAGCAAATATTCATTTATTGAGTGAATAAACTTCAGTAATCTTTGTTGAAATTAATGAATGGACAAGTTATCTAGGTAGGTGCGAAGTTGATGAGCCCCAGGCACTCTGCATTTTCCCTGAGCTGAAGTGTTTCTATATCAGGAAGTGAGGCCCTCTCTCTCTTTTGTGACCTGGGTCTGCATCAGCCTCGCCAGGTTGCTGCAGAGCTCAGAGGGGAAGGAAGCAGGGTAGGAATGTGGATGGAAATGTCGACCCACTCACTCTTGACTTCCCTTTGCCTCTTGTCCATATACTTTTAGTGACATGCACCATCGCCCCCCGGGAGAGACAAAACTGTGGCTATCCCGGTGTCACGCCCTCAGAGTGTAAAAGCAAAGGCTGCTGCTTCGATGACACAGTTCCTCGGGTTCCATGGTGCTTCCAGCCTGCACTCGTCAACACCCCTGAAGATGGTATGGGCATTTAAAACACTGCCAGTCTGGACATCTAGAAGTAATGAGAGAAAACCATGTGGGGCAGGGCCCCGGATTGGCATAGCTGTGCTTTTACCCAGAGCTGTGGCCTTGGGGTGGTGGGAAGAGCATTGATAAATCAGATGGAGTCCTGGTCCGGGCTATGGAGGATGGGTCGCAAGGCTGGTGAGGGGGCCTTTTTTCCCCCTACCTTTTCCTCACATTTCTAACCAAAAGCCCGTGAAGACTCCTTCTCGGAGAGACTTACTAGCTTGCTTGGGGTAGGAGAAGAAGAAGAAATGGCAATTAAAATTCTAAGACAGTTCGTGTTTCCTAAGAATTTTCCTGTTGATACTGTGAAATCTCTGTAGCTGTTTAAGAGTGAAAGAAAATACTTGGCCTCATGAATGCATCTCTTCTCCCCCCTTTAGAAGAGTGTCCGTTTTAGCTGCTCTTCCCTGGGATCAGCCTGTGTGATGACTGGATCGTCCTCTGCAGGGTGGCCCTGGAGCCTGGCCACGACTCTGGGCAGAGCTGCGGACACCTGCTGCACCTGTGCCGTGGGTCCTGTGCTGCATCACTGCTCTGGTTTTCAGTACTCAAAACTAGCCTAAACATTAAAAGAGATGAAAGTTGTTCTGTGCTTTTCGCTCTTTCTAAAAATATAAACTACTTTCCTTCCTTTGAAAGTGAAATGTGGTATTTTCACTTCTGGTTTGTACATTAGCTAGGGCTATCTAAGTTAAGGTGAGGTGTGGAGAGGGGGTGACAGAGAGAAGGCCGGCAGTGACTCTGCTTGTGTGGTCCACGTGGTCTCTGTTAGCGCTCGACATTGATGCACAAAGACTTTAGACTCCAGGCTCCTGTGACATAGCAAACTCTTCAAGAAGCCAGCCTAAGCCATGTCCATGTCAAACCATGGAACTAGACGCCAAACTCTAACAGCATCCTTTAAGTAGTCACTGTGGGTGCCCTTACTGCCAGGTAATACCAATTTTCTTTCATCTCCTTTACTTCCTCCAGTGGAAACTAGCTTAGGAGATGAAACTCATAATGAAATGTCTGAACGTGTTGATAATAAAGACCACAGAGGATGGCATGAACTGAAGTCTCCAGGGCTCCGCACCTCCAACCTGAATGAACTAGGCAAGGCAGAAGCCAAAACGTCACCTTGTTAATAATGCAGGCAAGATGGTTTACTTTCCTTGATTGCAGCATATCTGATCTTACGATCTCTGCATGTTAGTTAGAGGCAAACACAAACTAAGATGGAAGGAAACAGAGCCAACTGGAGCTGTCACCTAGGCCCTGGAATTAAACAGACTATCCCCCACCCTCCATGGTCAGGCAAGGCAAGGTAGCTCTAGGGGAAGAGCCTGAGTGGCAGCACGCAAGGCCTTGTTGAGGATGAGGAAGGGTGCCCCTCCCTGGGCAGTCATTCCCGCTAAATGAAGTAAGCCAGCTGGACCAAACGCACCCTCCTGCAGCCCCGGCCAGGTACCCCTGTGTTGGGCACAGCCGCACAACTGTATGGGGTTGGGGAGTCCCAGAAGCACTGGGAAACTTCCGCTCTCTGCAGCCAACTGCTTTCCAAGAGGTAGAAGGTGGTATCGAGGTGTGTGGGACCAGTTCTTTCGAAATTAACCAGTCAGGTAAATCATTCCCCTGACCCTTGGCCCCAGGGTAAGCAAGTTCAGAGGCATGAGAGGCCAGGAGACACCCCACTCAGGGAGAGGACCATCAAAAACAGAAGGCCCTGCCCCTGCACATGACAGCATATGTGAGTGTGTAATAATATATGTTGGGTTACCTACACACGATAAAGGTCACAAGTACTCCCCTTGCCTCTCAGATGTGCAGGGAAACCTTGGCTTACTTTCCTTGATTACAGCATGTCTGATCTTACAATCTCTACATGTTAGTCAGAGGCAAACACAAACTAATTTAATTTAGTGCAGTCCCTTTAAAAATAATTTTCTGTAATAATTTACACAACTTCTACAGGTCACAGTGTTTGGGAGATAAATTACTATCCTCTCTTCCCTCACGCCCCCAGCCCCCTTGCTTGCTCCTTTCTCTGTCTGGGAAGAGTGAGGGAGTCGCCTGGTCTGCATTGCACTCTTCACATTTCTGCTGGCCCATTAATGGAGTTTTCTAGAATCCAGCTGGCTTGGGCCCTGTGCCTCCTTCTCCCCACAATGCGAGAAAGGACTTTCCTACATGGCATCTCACAGCAGGTACCGTTGCTGGGTACACAGCAGCCATTCCACCTTGTCTTTATTGCCTAGCTTCTATTCGGTAAAGAATGCACTTTCCCAGCTCCTTTTGCACCTTGAGGTATTCTGGTCCATGAGATATAAGAGGGCATCTACTTGGAGGCTTTGGGGAAAGATTCGTCTTCTTTGGTAAGAATGTCTTCTGCTCCCTCTGGCCAGCCCCTGCAGCCTGCCTTTGGATGTTGTGATATGATGGTGCAACGTGGTGCTTGGGCAGCCCTTCTGTGACACTGAGGAAAGCCCGAGAGCTAGAACATTGATATCCCTGAGCTGCTTATTCAGCCCCACCACCACCTACCTCCAGAATTTGTTACCTAAATCCCAGTATCCTTAGGGGTTAAACCACCGCTTGCTGGGTTTCTTGTTATTTGGCAATACATTTCCAAATGAGCCTACGACCCAGCCACCATGGGCTGGAGAAACTCTCACCCCGGGCAATCCATTCTCTCCACCATGCTTGGTGCTTAACCTGGATTTTCCAGCAAGTCCCCTAACTCTGAGGCCATCAGCAATAAGCCTCAGACTCAGCATGTGGAGTGAGAAGCCGCGGACATGAGCGTGGGGGAGTCAAAGGCATCAGTATTCCTGTACAGAGCCACGTCCTTGACGAGTGCTATCCCCATCTTTGCAATTGAGGAAAAAGTGCTGAGAAACGTGTTCTATCTGCCCAAACGAGTAGACACACAGACTGAGCTGTGGGGTCAGAGGCGACCCCAGAACTGAGGTTCACTAGTGATTCAAGGATCCAGGTACTCTAGAGGCCCCAGCCAAGCAGAGTGCATCATAGGGGACATGTGAGGGAAGTGCCCCGCATTCTTCCTCCTGTGTCAGATGTGCCCTTTCATCCTGAAGAGTGTAAACGAGGTTTCTGAGGTTCACACAGCATGGGGAATCAGCTGGGAGACACCTTCATCTCACCACCTAGGGGTGTGTGGTTTTACTGCTATTTTCCCAGCCAGATCCTTTACCCCAAGTGCTGCTGTGGCTGGTGAATCCTGTGGGCATCACCAGATGAAGCATCATCCCAGACACTGCTAGACTGGGGGCCTGGGGATCAGCTGGGGCCCCACCCAGTGGAGGGAGTAGATGGGTCAGAGGTGAGCACTTCAACTCCTGCCTCCTCTCAGGTTCCAGAGAAAGAAATTGCAGGCTCCTCCCAGCGTTCCCCACCTGCTGGACACATGACCCTGTGGCTCCACCGTGTGGATGAGAGGCCTCCTCGGGCCCACTAGGGAGGAAGAGCTGGTGAGCCAGCTGGGACTCCATAGGAGCAACCTACCACAACCCAGAGGAGCCCACAGCTTCATCTGTGTCAGGGGCACGAGGATGTGTACAAGAGCGGATGAAGGTGTGCCTGTCAGTGTCTGCCGCTGCTTCCAGAAATCACAAACCCTGTGAGAATTACAGTGGTGGAATGCAATGAGTAGGGGCAGGAGAAACTGGAGGCAGAGTTTGGTGTGGGGAACCTGGCAGAGAATCATGCTGGTGCCTGAGAGTGGCGCCCACACCCCTGAAGCTCCGGGGAGTGAGTGGGAGCTGCTGAGGTCTGCATGCCGCAGAGATGGAGGCAGGGCAGTGGGCAGCAGGCCACCTTCTTCTGTTCAGAGCCACAGGGCTCGAGATGAAGGGGCGGGGGGAGGCAGAGAAATACCCCCATGGCCCAGGAATAAGGAAAAAGCAGCACAGCATCAGATTTGAATGTCTTCCCAGCATTTTCAGGCCTGAGGTGATGCTCTGGGGCTCCTAGGATCCCCTGTCAGACAGAAGCTATTACTGAGAAAGAGGAAGGTGCAGACCCTTTGGCTTGAGAAGAGGCTCGTAAAGTCTGGTTTGACATATGTGGTGACAATGCAGAGGTTGGCAGAGGTGCACGTGGTGTGTGTGTGTGTCTGTGTGTGTGTGTGCAGGTGGGCAGGCATGGTGGAGAAGAACGAACAGGATGGGAAGCTGGGCAGTGTGTACATGACCTGGGTCAACCTCTACCTGCCCCCAGCCCCGCCTCTGTGCCTCCTCTCTCAGATGCCCCATGGCAATGGCCAAGATGTCAATGAGGGGGTCCTGCAGGTCCCAGTGTGCGGATCTCTGCGAGTGTGGGCCTTTCAGGAATCTCTGACAGAGTGCTCTGTACTTACACCTCACCCTCACCCCTCCCGCCTCTGCGGCCATGACTGAGCCAGAAGTCTGCAAGGCGGAGTTCTACAGGGTGGGGAGTGCCAGCCTTTCTCTCCCAGACCACTGCAGAGCCCTCAGGTGTCCAGGTGGGTGGTGGGAATGAAGCAAGCTATGATGATAAAGTGCCTTAATAAGAGCAGCCCTGGGACCAGCGGATGGCGTAATGGTTACGTCATTGGATTCTCACGTAGTTGACTGCAATTCAAGGCCTGGACCCAGTGGCTTAAAACTTATGCCGGCCATGTGTGCATGCATGCCCAAAATCCCAAGAGGAGAATGGAGAAGGGATTATGGTGTGGTCATCTCCCCTCCTGGGGGGTGATTTCTTGCTTTCTGTCTCTCTGTCTCTCTGGCAAGCACACACATCCTATAGCAAAACATCCAGAAAAAAAAAAAAAAGAAAAAAAATAGAGAGCGAGAACAGCCTGCTGAGAAGGCACCTGTGGGGGAACTGGTCACCCACCCCCTATGGAGCCTACAGGACTCAACTCTCTATTCCATCCACCCAGAAACCCGGGGTGAGCAGCCCCTGGAGGCAAAGGCTCAGCGAATTTTGGTGGGTTTGGGTGAGTGGTGCGGTGGGCAAACCACACTAGTAACTTTTATATTTGCATGTATTTCTTGGCAGCGGAAAGTCTTATGTATTTGTGTTTTGAGAAACAGTCCTTTTGTTTCGGAACAGCTCTGTGCCATTGTGTGTCAGTTAACCCTGAAACCACCAGACACTGACAATACTGTCCATGACTCAGGGAACTTTCTGTGTCCTTAAAGCTCTTCAGATAAAAGCTCAGGAAATCTCTCATGGGGAGAGACACATCTTTTGGGGTGAGTTCAGGGGTATTCTGGTGGACAAAATGTGGAGAGGGTTGTGTCTGGCTCAGCCCTGAAGTGCCCGGATGTGGAATGGAAGAGATATGGGGAAGCGCTATTTGCCGTGAGGCCTGAGAAGCAGGAAGGAGATGAGGCAGACAGGCAGAGAGGGGGCGAGGATGGCCTGGCTGAGGCAGAGGACCCCTGAAGCTTTCTACTACCCCTCCTCTCTTCATCGTCAGCTGGCACGTTAGTCAGCCATGGTTGCCGTAAGTACCACAGATGGCAGCTTCAGCAGCAGACATGGATGTCTCACACTCTGGAGGCTGGAAGTCCGAGGCCGGGTGTGGCAGCGCTGGCTTCTCCTGAGGCGTCTCT